CTTAGCTTCCTACCTTACTTTATATCTTTAACTTAGGTCGTCCCTCGTTTTTTCTAGGCTTAGTCGAGGTCCATCGGCATTAGTCTATAGTATGGTTACCTTTATTTCTTAGTATTAGACCTTTATCCCCTTACTACGAATCCTCGACGGTAACTGTCGTGGCGTTTATATTCTTAGTAGTCGTTATCGACCTAGATCGCTCCGTTAATCCAGTCTTCGATTTTTTCGCTCTTATACGTTCTTATTTCCCATTTGATCGCTGGCTTAAGGCCTTCGCGGAAAATAGGGATCGACATACTATCACCCTACCTAAGTACTACGTTTAGGGTTCGGAACTTAGTTATATAGTCTTAAACCGAGCCCGTTTAGCGTAGGTTTATGATTTATCGTTCCGCCTCTTTTTCTTCGTCCCTTACTCCGAACACCTTCCGGACCTTCGTCTTAAACCCCTAGAAAGTTCGAAACAATGCAATAGTTTCGTCTTCCCTATTATCTAGCTGATTCTCTATATAGTCTTTAATGAACGGGCGGAGCTAGGCTTCGGCTCCTCCTTCGAAATAGCTTCCTATAAAGAGGATCTTTTATATGTCGCTTAGGAAGTCTCCTAGGTTTATTAATAGATATATATCTATATAGTGAATAAAGGGTATAAGTCTTTCCTACGCTCCATTAAAGGGCTTAGGTAGGTTTCCGATCTTACCCTTAGGTACTAGTTCTACCGCAATAGGAGCCACCGACGCTATCTCTACTGTAGTGGTATCTGATGGTGTCGGTCTTGGTATACTTAGTCCTGCCATCGTGTCGTTTAGAGATAGTCGTGACGCTTATCGTACGAGGAGTTCGTCGGTTGGGGATGTGGGCCTTATATGTCTTCCGTAACTACTTATAAAGGTCGTCTCTCGTACCGGTGTATAGTAGCTAAAGTATTAGAGCTGCTTCCTATATAGCCTAACGGGGTTAGGCTTCCTTAGTTATAGTTCCTTTATTGCATGAGCTGGGTCGAGAGTACGTAAGGTATAAATAGTCGAGTGACTTTAGAATAGTATAGTGAAGTAGATGTTATGAATTGGCTACGAGAGAGTGTAACTATGAAAGGGGAATGAGCGTAGCTATATACTTGAGGGGCATGTCCCGAATAGGTAACTGGGAATGGTATGTTAATATATTAATATAGTAGTATACTACTATACCAATATATTAAACATTTCCTTTTTAGGTAGTTACGTGCGGTACGTGACCTAGCCTTGTATAGTCAGGCTGCCGCCCCGGCAGACCTGCCTGTAGGTACCCCGCGCCCCAGGTCATATGAAGGCCGTTTCTAACATTAAGGCGTTTACGAGTATATTCCTTAGTTAGTTTAGGCCTATTTTTAGTCATCTAGCGGCGTAATCCGTAGTCGCGTAGTACTCTTCGAACGGTATTAATTAAGACATTAAGATCGTTATTATCGATTAACTATTAATAGGAATACCTAGGAAATTTCTTTACGTAACGGATAAGTCTTCTCTTTAGAGTATTCGATAGTTTTTTAGGTCTACTAGAGCGTTAATAGCTCTATAACTTAAGATAATTAAGAATGTACTAGACTAAACTACGAGGTATTTAAACGATATCGGCGATCTCTCGCTGCGACTTTCCAGCTAAGTGAAGTCCATTAATTATACTACGTATAAAATCAGAATATTCATTACTTTTTATCATTATAATAGTAATTATAGAGAGATTAAGCGAACGTAGTTAAAGTAATTAAAGAAATAAGTAGTGGTAGCTGAAAATCTAGTAGGTGGAAAAATGGTGGGGTGAAGGATATTTTTGCTAGGGTGCTGTACCTGGAGTACCCAATCGAAGCTACAGGACATGTATTAAATGGTCTGCTCATTCACCATTTCTATCTCGAAGATTGTTCGTCATGGCCTCATCGTCACCAGCAGACTCGCCCGCAAGATCATTGTCATTTACCTCATTGAACGACGAAAAGCCGACAACTATTATCCTTCTGCACGGAGGCTTCACATGCCGCCTCGAATTTGCGCTCGTGCTTCCGCACCTCTCTGAGTTCCATGTCCTCGTCCCTGACCTACCGTTGCATTCTGCGTCACGCCACATTAAACCAGGCACGATCGATAACTCAGCCTGCTATGTCGCACGACTCATTCGATCGCACGCCCATGGCGGAAAGGCACACGTCGTTGGCGTCTCCATGGGAGGCTACATAGGCCAGTGCCTCGCCTTGCACCACCACGACCTCGTCCTCTCACTCTTTGTTACAGGTGCTGCGCCAGTGGTCGGAATACGCCTGTTCATGGCGCGCTGGACAAGGCTGACCTATTATACGATGAGGTTTATGCTGCATTGGCTCCCTGACTGGGTTTACCGGTATCAAGCTTCGCTACTTGGCCTGAAACTTAGCGACAAATTGGTGGCTGAGATGAGGGACAACATCACTTGGGAGTTGGTCCAAGATATGTTCCCGTGGATCTTGTCATTCACCCTGGATCACGTGCGCCAGTTGAAAGTACGGACACTGTCTGTTGCGGGGGCGCAAGGGGATGATGTGCCTATGACAGAGAAGACGGGCGAAGCGCTGAAGAGCAGGCGGACTGAACAGGACGTAGCGTGGCCTGAGGATGGGTCGGGAGCAATTGTGCTAAGAGAGGCAACGCATGGATGGGACATGCAGTTTCCAGAGCTCTTTGCCCAGGGGGTATCGGCCTGGGTCAAGGGGGAGAGATTGCCCAATGAGTTTGAGAGGATTTAGGAGCTAGAGAACTCTATGGGAAAAGATGTCGCCATGAGATTGACGTTTTAATCGAATTTCGGTGCTAGAATTCCAAGACCAGCGCCAAGGACGGCTCGCATTAGGGATCTGCTTGGTGGCAGAGACTGAGGCGCTTTGACACTGATGAGGGACTGTATCTCAGAACTGAATACCACGTCTCCGTCTAATTCGGCGAGTCGTGGTCGACGCCAGCTAACCAGCTCCGCCCCCGCACGATTGCCTCGATTCATCCCAAAGAGCACCGCAGACCTCAATAGTATGCGCCAGAGGACGTTTTGTTGAAGGACACTTCAGGAAATTCTGGGCTCGGTATGTCGAGCAGATCTGCGTACTTCGCTTCTAGTATCTCATGGAAGAGTCGAATCAATGGTTCCAATGAAGGTCTCAACGGCCGAGCCGGTCCGGTTTGTCCCCAGAAGCTGTGGCAGGACCAGGGAGTCCGTTAGCGGGTTATGCACCGGCCCATCTGGTAAGGTCAGTTCTCCACCAACGAGATATTCCACGCCGGATGGTTACCTGCAGTACGTGGGGGTACGGACGACTGCTGATCATGGTGATCTCATCTCCCCAGAGACCTCCATCTATGTTGCAGCCAGCTCGAAGTCGTGACTTCGCCAGCAAAGCACCAACAGCTTTAGCACTCCCAAGGTGTGTCCGAATATGGCCATTCGGTCGGTGTCTAGCGAGTGTATTCCGAGCTGCTGGAAAAGGGTACCTTTGGTCACGGTGTCAAATACGAAGGAGACGTCCGCAATACGAGGTTCAAGTAGTGTGAGGATACTGTCCGTGATTGTAACGTGGACATATGCCACATAACTGTCGTCTGTGTACTTAACGATTGTGCCATCATGGGCATGATTTATCGCAAGTACATTGAAACCCAATGAGGCAACCCACTGTGTTATTATAGCGTATACCACACGAGGGGCCAGGTAGCCGGGAGAGAAGAATAGAAGTAGTGCAGTGTTGTTCTCTGGCGGCTCCGGGCACACTTGTAGCTGGAAGTTGTCGAAGCTTATATTTGGTATGTAGCATGAAAATAGGTCTGTCAATGCTGCCGCCGACGTGAGCGGTACGTAGGTGATGTGTTTAGTCTGTTGACAGGTATTTAGCTGATGTAGTGTCAACATCAGCCGACGTGGCTCATTGCAACACGGTGCAAAATGGTTCACTCGACTCATGTCTGTCCGAGGAAAATGAGTGACGTGGACATTAGCCGACCTGGGAGGAGTTGTGGGAAAGGTTGTTTGGACTAGAGTGCCCAGGAGGCAAGGTAGTACAACTAGAGAGCGCATCATGACCAGGACCTGAGAGGTGTGGCTGCTTACAAACTACCATAGTGCCCTCAGTTGCTGGGGCGATTTGAGCAATAATATATAGACTACGAGGCATTAACATTGCTCACTGGAAAGCGCGGGGTAGTGTCACTAATCTTGAAAGTAGTTCAAAGGGAGCCCGGTGGTTTGAATAGCCCTGAGCGGCAACAGACAACAATGGATAGTATCTTACAGTCCATTCCATCATGTCCTCCGGCCAAGGTCACCGAGACTATATCGGCACTTGATCAAGTCCAGATTTGAGCGCTTTGACCGTATGCCGAAATCCGTGGGCCGGTGTAATTGAGATGACATGGATGGGATAGAATTTCACATACTGTCTATTCTGCAGAGACCACCATTACCAATCAGGGTTAAGCTGAAAAGGACTCGGTTAGAAAGGTAATCGTAAACGGATATAGAATGGCCCCATAGACCCGCAACTCGCCGCTCCACATCACCGAGTTAGGATAGCGCGTGCCATACAGCACACGACGTCGTGGCGTCAAATGCATCAAGTTTTGCGCAAGTGCATGTGTGTCCAGCGATTGTGACGACCCGAAGCACAAGTAGTTCTCCGATGAGAAGATCAAGACCATGGTCGAGCAGGTAACTCGGGCTCAGCGGTCAATTGCGGCGCACGGTCACGGTCTGGCAGATATTAAGGCAGCGATTCAGGGGGTTCCACCACAATCGAGCACGTAACCTGTCTGGATGACGAGGCGATTGCGCTGATAAAGGAGAAAGGGATCAACTTAGTCCCTACCCGCGAGATTATGGACGACGGCTTAGCCACAGCCACTTAAAGAGGGCATTCGAGAAGCTGAAACCAGTAGCAGAGCAACATGCTAACGCATAGCGGGCTGCAGTGGCTGCCGGCGTCAAGATCGCCAGCGGATCAGACCATGGCATCAGCAAAAGAGACAGCCCAGTAAGTCACGGCCACAACGGTAGGGGTCTCGAGCTGGCGGTTCAAGTGGGCGGTATGACCCCCTTAAAGGCGATCGAGGCATCTACAGCGACTGCTCCAGAAGTCCTGAGCCCTCAAGCTCCCGAAACTGGCATGTTAAAGGCAGGTTATGATACCGATTTCATTGCGCTGACGTCCAACCCATTGGACAATATCAGTGTTGTCGCTGACCCAGACAACGTCACACATATATGACTCGGAGGATAGGCAGAGAAGTCTCCAGAGAAGCCAATTGTAGTCCTGACCCGGACTAAAAGGTGACAGAGGCTCTAGATGTACGTGATAGGCAAACATGCCTGAGTTCCGTGTCGCTTCTGTATCTGCAGACGTAAATCGGTCGATATATTACATGAGTAAAGTACAGAAAATGGTCCCCTGACGAGAGGTAACGAAGTGACAGATTATGTCAAGTGAAGTATTCTATTTCATGCTGAGAATCTGTATCTTCGAAAGCCTTGTCTGATCCCCTCATCCACGGGGACAGGGGACGCGGGACATGGAACTTGGATCATCTGCCTAAGATTGTCCACTCAAAAATTACATATCTCTCAGACGCAAGCTAGTAATTAACCAATGGTCATGGATGGAATTGTTCCAGCTGCATCCATCCATCTAGCAATCGGGAAAGAGCAAGTCTCCAATCGTGTGAATGTCCTTTCACATTTGGAAACGAACTCTGCGGTTCTGCTGGTCCTTCCAACCTGGATTGCATCAAAGGTATAGATAACCAAGTCCCTCGAAGTGAGAGACATCATATGTACATTGATCTTGAGACCCGATCCAGTGAAACCCATTAGAGAGAAAGAACATAGTCTGGGTGGCGCGATCCTAGCTGTGCCGCACTAACCCCTTCGTTGAGCCGATAGTCTCGACCGCCGCGAGCTCTCAACTTGTTCTCTGCATGATTCAACCACATCAACAGTACAGATAGGGCAACTACCATGACAGTCATAGCAAGTTCCACGCCATTAGCAACATTGGTCTTTGCATTCGCGTAGGTGAAGGTCGAGATGATTCCGCCAGTTGTCCCTAGCGTCACGGCAAACGACATCCCGGTAGCACGGACATAATGGGGCTGCAGATTACCGATCAGCCAGGATGTGGTCGAGTTGATGATCGGGTAGATCGAGCCCGCGACCAAGAAGAGCCCGAAGTACCTCACTGCGACACCCTTGCATGTCATCTGGATGATCCAACCGATGATCTCAACACAGCACGGGCCAAGCACAAAAGGCCCGCGGATGTGAACGTGATCCGCCGCGATCGAGGTCATGAAGACACAAATGGTGCCGAATATGTACGGAGGCACGCTGAGAAGCTGAGACTGGATCGTGCTGTACCCAAAGCTTTTGATGATGGCGGGGGAGAAAAGGCTGTAGGCGTAGATGTTGCAATACGTTCCGATGCTAATAGTGGAAAGAAGGATTGTGTTCCAGTCCAGAAGCCCTAGTTTCACTGCTGCCCAGGTGAACTTCTCTTGTTCATGATTGACGTCGACGGTGCGGCTAATCTTTCCTGACCTGATTCTGGCCACCTCGCGCTCTTCCTCGGTCAAAAATCTGGACTGACCTGGCATGTTAGGTAGGATGAAGAAGCAGATAACCCCGACGATCATGGAGATGGCTCCTTCGATGAAGAAAATCCATGGCCAGTGTCTGTAAGATCCGACTTGAATTTTTCCGAGGCCAGACGCTAGTAGGCCACCGACTGCACCGCTCAGGGGTGCAGCACAGTAGTAGACAGCCAGACGTCGCTGTAAATGATCGGGTGGATAGAACATGCCCATGTAGATGGCGATACATGGGGTCAAGCCCCCTTCACAGAGCCCGAGAAGACACCGGACTGCATATAGTTGAGATGCAGTCTTGACGAATCCGAGGCAGATGGTGCAAGTGCCAAACAAAAAGATGCTGATGCAGAGAAAGGGGCGAGGGCCGATGATCTTGAACACCAAGCCGGCCGGAAGGTCGACAATCAAGTAACAGATGAAAAAGAGAGCCAACGCGACACTGTAGCTTTGGCCTTGCAGCTTGAGGTCGGCATTCAATCCAGCAATGCTGGCGTTCCCAATACTAGCCCTGTCCATAAAGGAGAAGAAGTAGAGAAGAAACAAGCATGGGAGAATGCGGAAGTCGAATTTTCGGTTCAAGACCTTTTCAGTGGCAAGCTTTTCCTGCTCGTTCACTTCAGCAATGTCGGATTCGAGTTTCACCCCCTCCTCAATGTGTAGGGGAACTGCAGCCATTGTTTTCGGTTCGGACGACATCGTTGGGAAGGAGACAGAAAGGTAAGAGACCGAGCAAGTGTCAGATATTGCAATGTCCTGATCGAAGAGAAGGCAGAAGGAAACCACAGCAGACTCTGGGGCAAGTTTTATAGCTTTCCCAGGAGTCGTAGTGCTTGATATCTTGTGAGTTACTTACCCAAGTAACGGACTTTTCTGTATAAGACAGGGTCGAATCCAATAAAGACGAAGGCATTAGCAGGAAACTGGGGAACCATGACCCCAGATCCACCGGAGCGAGAACTCGGCCTTGGCTGATCAAAGTTTGGCCCAGACGGCGCGCTTTCGGTACTTTTGGCATGCGACGGGACCACATGGAGACTCCGCCATGGAGTTGCTGGTGAACTTAACTGACCTCGGGTCGGTGCTTTTTGCCCTCGAGAAGCCGACCATGTGTTCCAGAATCCAGCTCATTCTCCTCCCGAGAGCGCCAAACCCTGTGTACGTCTAAGTACCTTGTTCAGTGCTCCTGTCTTTCTCGTGCTGTGATTATTCTCGGAGGACATGTTTGGCAAGACAATATGCTGCCGGTCAGAAGTTTAGGGTTCGCCCCTGTTTCTGCCGACTATTCGGGCAACCTCCCCATGGTGGCGGCAAATACCACTCGCGGGTTGCTTGTCAAAGGTGTGATGCTGGTCAGAGTGGGGACCACCGTTGTCACTTTGAAATGAAGAGGACAGTTTCCATCGATCGTTCTTTCTCGCGTTTCACAGCTTGAATTTAGATACCGTAAGTAAGCTGTACGGGAGTCATCAGCATATCCATCAAGTGTTCCTTCGTGGACTGTCGCGATCTCGCTTGATATAAGAAGGGTGACGGACCAAGGGAACACCGATAGTTTGTTTGGATAGTTCATCCTCATAATGACGGTTCGCAAAACTGCCCAGTGGGTGATTGACCCAAACAAGGGAATCGCAGCTCTTCAACTTCAGGAGAACGTTCCGCTGCCTGACTTGGGGGAGAATCAGTGTCTGGTTCGCATCGAAGCAGTTTCCTTAAATTACCGCGACATTGCCATTGCCCTGGGCCGATACACATTACCGTTGGCAAAAAGCTTTGTTGCCTGCTCTGATGGCGCTGGAGAGATCGTTGCCGTTGGTTCTGGAGTGAAGCAATTCAAGCTCGGGAACAGGGTCTGCATGAACTTCATGCAAGACCTTCAGGATGGCATCGTGACCCCTGAAATCCGGCAGAGCTCGTTGGGGAGTCAACGGGACGGTGTTCTGCGACAATATGGAGTATTTGAAGAAACGGGTCTTGTGTTGATGCCCAAAAACTTCTCATATATTGAAGGGTCCACCCTACCCTGCGCTGCCCTGACTGCCTGGAATTGTTTGTTCGGTCTCGAATCCAGGGCTCTCCAACCAGGGGATTTCCTACTCACGCAAGGAACTGGCGGTGTCTCGCTATTCGCGATCCAGCTCGCATTGGCGATTGGCGCGAAGGTCATCGCCACCACTTCGACGGCAGACAAGGCAGAGAAGCTCAAAGCATTGGGCGTCCAACATGTCATCAACTACAGGTCCAACACCGACTGGGGAGAAATTGCCAGATCTCTGACTCGAGACGGGCTTGGTGTGCATCATATCGTTGAAGTTGGCGGCGAAAATACAGTATCTCAGAGCTTGAAAGCCATTAGACCCGAGGGCGTCGTGTCTATGGTGGGGTTCCTCGGTGGAAGAGGGAATAGTGAAAGCCTACCCAACATCTCTTGGATACAGCGGCAACTCTGTATTGTCAGAGGGATGAATGTTGGTCCGAAGAGTATGTTTAATCAGATGAACGCGTTCCTTGAAGAACACAACATCAAACCCATCGTCGCTGATCGAATATTCAAATTTGAAGAAGCGCCGGAAGCCTACAAAGAAATGGAGAGGCAGCATTTCTGGGGCAAGATTGTCATTCAGGTTCAATGAACTATCCACTCGAAGTATCACTCAATCATGACTTGGAAAGGAGGAGGAGGTACGCGAGTAAGAAGAACTTATTGGCAGGAAGAGCCATGTATTTACTGTCTGTTATATCTACCACGGCAATAACACATGGGTTGTCGCTTCAAGCGCCTTCAACAAAAGATTTGCCTCCTGCTGCATTGTCAAAAGCCATACGCTCTTGGAGACCCAGAATATTGAATAGGTACTTGACACCTGCCCTCTTTCGAGTGTCGCTGGCAACTGGTCTTTGATTCTTCTTCAGTTCCCTCATCGCCTCTCCCACCATTTCCGTAACTGAGTCTAAAGCCACGGAAGGGAAGATCACAATCTTGAAGCCCAGCTTGTTGGCTTCCTGAACACTGAGGTGGGGAGTAATACTTCCAGCCACCATGTTCAGAAGGACAGGCGTGGGAGCTAGGTCTTTGCAGACACGACTGCATTGTTCCATAGTAGTCATGCCCTCCGGGAAAGCAACATCGGCGCCCGCCAAAACAGCGTTTCGGAGACGTGAAACTGCAGCCGCGTAGCCTAGTGATTGGATCGAGTCGGTACGTGCGATGAGAACAATATCTGCTGAGCCTCCAGACACCTTGCGCATCTCATCACGGGCCAATACAGCTGCCCGGATCCGAGTCAAGTATGTTTCTTCATCCACCAGCTCTTTGTTTGCCAGATGCCCACAGCGCTTGTTCTGGACTTGGTCTTCAAGATGCATTCCCGCCACACCAGCAGAGATATAGGCGCGGACCGTTCTGGCCACCATCAGAGGTCCGCCATAGCCCGTGTCGGCGTCTGCAATAACGGGGACTGAACGGTCCAGTGAGGCAATCATTCCAGCATTTTCCACCATATCATTCATTGTCGCAAGGCCGAGGTCTGGTTCACCCAACCTGGATGCTGCGGTTCCGGCTCCAGTCATATAGAGCGCATCAAAGTCTTCTTTCAATGCCAGTCGGGCAGTGATACCGTCGTATACCCCAGGACAAAATATGGTTTTGTCTTCTTGCAGGAGCTTTCGTAGTTTATGGGCAGCCGGCATACCCTGAGACTCGGAAATAGACCCCATTGTCGTTGTTGCAAGAGCGACTGCAATGGACGGCACGGATAGAGGAGACTGTATACTTGAACTCTTGGCTGAGACACTGTGCAATATGTTTCAACTATAAATCACCTCTTGCTTTGGCCTAGGTTCCGATTTATCCTTCGTTCCAACAGAAGGTGGGACTAAAAAAGGCAGGGGAAATGAGGTTGGTGACCGACACGTTAACAGGCCGAGAAGTCGGTGAAATTAGTCTGTGAGAAGTGTGGTTAGTCCATTGGAGAAGGTGAATGTCATTAATGCAAAAAGCAACTCATGGCATGGATTCTAGCTCGACGAACAGCAAATAGTGCTGCGGTCGCGGCTTGACATAGAAAGGACACGGTTAAACAAAAAGAAGTTACGCATGCACCTTGGGCGAACAAGAAAATCCACCCACTTTTCCCACAACACCTCCAGAATTGTTTCACTACAGAAGAAAGATGGAACAACTGAACCATCTCCCTCCTACAAGAAGACTCGTCACAGGTCACGATCGAGACGGAAAGGCTATTTTCGAGTTCGATGATTTACTCACGCCCGTCAATCCCACTCCAAAAAGCGCGAGGTCCGATCCCTCCACACCTCAACCAGTTGGCGCCACACTGATTCATCGTACTCGAGAATATCCGGTCAAAATCCAAGGCGGAAGAGAAGAGCTCACTGTGGACAATATACGTCGAGGCCAGGGCGAGAAGGGAATCGTCTGCCAGATTGTGGATGTTCCTCCCACTCCAGATGGCACAAAACCATACTTGCACCGCAACGAGAGTCTCGACTACGGTGTGGTGCTGAAGGGACCACTACAGTTACTCTTGGACGATGGAGCTGTCGAGACTCTGAGAGAGGGAGACGTGTATATTCAAAAGTAAGTGTGCCTGATGGTGTTTATGGACCATCAGCCCACCCAGTATCGAAGAGCGCCACTGTTGCTGACCAAACCATTATAGAGGAACATTCCATGCTTGGCTGAATAACTCCAATGACTATTGCCGCTTTCTGACTGTTGTCATCCCATCTCAGAAGGTCAAAGTGGAAGCGACAGGAGAGCTTCTGGAAGTCACGAAAATACCAGGATTGAGTGACTGATACATTGTAAAGAGTGTCCGGAAGCTAGAAGGTGGCAAGCCTGGAAGAGCAGATATGATTGTGTGCAGCAATGGTGTAATGCTGAACCTATACAAGGGACGATGCCCATGTTACAGGCCTCACAGAATTTGACGTAGCTTTGTGAGATACGAGCTGTGAACAATGCCTCCCCCCCATTTCAGCCTGGCCTGGAATGGTACCGGCCTTTCTTCAGGGTCTCAGTCCGCGTCACAGAGAGTAGTGATTAGCGAGAACAACCGATAATGATAGATGGTCCCTACAGTCCGAAGAACTGGCCGAGTTTTCGGATAGTCTAAATTGCGAGTCCTACGCCCACATGGAATTGATGAACTAATTTGTACTGAACTTGCTACATCGCACGGAGCAACGGTGCTGCGAGTTGTCGGCTTTGCAGGATGCCACGGCCTCGCAGGGATGATCTGCCGGTCAAACATACCATGATATTCCATACTGTGAGGTTTAACACAGGAACTATACCCTACGCGTTTCTCATATTCACTGACTTTTAGGGATTATAAGGAGCAATGCCTACCTGACCTATTTGCCTCAAATATCGGACTCGACTACCTAGCTATACCAAACTCCAAATATTCACGGTATCATCAAACCTATTCAACAAGATGATCTCAAAGACATTGCCTGAAGTGGACCACTTTGTCCCTGTTGAGCCAACCAAAGAGAAGCTCGACTACGCCGACCTCGATATCTTAGATTTCTCACTCTACAAAGACACTCCCGCCGACAAAAAGGAACTTGCAAAACAAGTCCACAAGGCCATGACCTCCCATGGGTTCTTCGTAATCGTCAACCATGGAATCAGTGAAGAAACTATTGAACGCATAGTCGATATTGGCCACACCATTCTGTCACGCACCCCCCAAGAGGAGAAAGAAAGACTCAGAGCAGATCTCACTGGGAAAGGAGAATATCCTGGGTTCAAACCTCGCGGGCTGTGGAAAACACTCGGGGGTACCCCGGACAGGATCGAACAGTTCAACGTGCACAGGGATATGACAACTCACGAACAGCCCAAGGCCTTGGAACCATACCGCGACGAGGTCCAGGAATTCATCGACACAGTCCACAAAGATATCCTCTACAAGATTCTGAGACTCTTCGCCATCTCCCTCGAGATTGGAGACGAGGAATTCTTCGTCAAGGCTCACAGCTACGACAAGCATGACGAATCCTGGTTTCGCTGGATGGAGTACTATGACATTCCAGCCGAAGGGGCTGCAGACGAGAAGAAGCTATGGCTTGGTGGTCATCAAGACTTGACCTCCCTTTCACTCCTGTTCAGTCAACCAATGGCGACTCTACAGGTCCGGGATTATGGCGATGAATCACAATGGAAGTTTATCCCTCATATTCCTGGCGCCATCATCGTGAATGCAGGCGAGCCGATGATGTGGTGGACGGGAGACTACTACAAAGCGGCTGTTCATCGAGTGGTTGAGCCGCCCACTGACCAGAGAAACCATGATCGCAGCAGTGTCTTCTACTTCGTTGTTCCCAATGATGAGGTGGTCATCAATACACTTCTCGAAGAGAGTCCTGTTCTGCAACGCCATGGAGTACGGAAGTGGTTTAAGGACGGAGAGGCGCCCACGAGCAGTGAATGGGTGCACAACCGCATCAAGGCCAACCTGACAGCACATGTTGTAGCAAAGCATGGTGAAGGGAAAACCAGTGTTCAGAAGATTGGGACGGTGACCACGACGTGGTACAAATGAGTGATTATCACAGTAAGAATGCAGTCAAATTGGGTCAAGTTTTGTAAATAGGTGTTTACCGATAACAACTATTTAGTCGATCAATAGTTTCCCATTGCAACCAAATGCTGTAAGGTTCCTAAATCAGACGCTCACAAGTACTGTGGCTAGCTACCCTATCTCAGCAGGATCTTACACCATGGAGAGCGAAATCGGTTCAGAGCCAAGGACGCCAGTCCCATCAAATACCTCATGGTTCATGAAGTTGATAGGAATGGAGCCTGTTCTTGATGGTTGCTCATACCATTATCAAGGAATGAAAGATCGTTCTCCAAAGATACGGATTTCCAGCTCTCTACCGAGTAACATCACGGTGATATAACGGTATCTGCTTCACTTCAAGCGAGAATTCTAAGTACAGGAATCAGACAGGAATCGGCATTGGACTTGGTCTAGACCACGAGCAGCTTGCGTCCGGCATCAGTAACATTCCCCAGATCTCGACACCGATCGGCCAACGTCTGCGCTCTCTCCGCCGGCAACCATGGAGAAATCTCTCCAAGAAACCTCCTCGTAACTGCCGGTCCGTCCAACCAGGGCACATCTGGTGCCGCCTCGGTGATCACAGTGCCGTCCCTAAAGAAAATCTCAATTTTGGCGGGTTGCAAGCCCTCTTCGTAGCTCTTTTCGAATTCTGGGTTTGTAGTCACGGACATTTTGCCCATGAGGGAATTGACCACTGGGTTATCGACGCATGTTGACGTACCATCGTCGAAGCGGCCAAAGACGAGGCCTGCGGCGACGCCAAACTGTATGCTAAGTTTCCCGCTGGATTTGCTGGAGAGTGGCCCGGCGTCATCGCACCCAGGGTAAGCGAGTGCACCGGGGGTTGTGGTGATGTGAATCTTGGAGATCTCATCTGCATTCGCGGTTTTGGCCTGGAAGTCCTTGTGCATCTTTATAGCAATGGCGGTGGAGGCCTGTGTGAAGTTGCAGCAGGATGCAGGCTTGAAATGGGTTTCGAGGATCCCTCTACCCAGGGGAGAGGTTTCAATCCAGCTTCTGAAGCGACCAGAGGCGTTCGAATCGACCCCGAGAGCTTCAAAGTAGCCATCCTTGCCTTCGAGGACGACATCACTCACAGGGAACTCGTTCCGGCCAAGGTCGTAGCTGGTGATGGCTGCTGCACTTGCTGACCCATTATGAATATGGATTTCTCTGCCTCCCGTATGTGCCCATGCGTTAATACCACATACCATGTTGATGGCCAAACACAAAATCCGCATGGCTGCCTCATCATGCTCGGGTGGACTGCCTGCAATGAGAGCTCCCGCCGCAGCGAACGAGCCGACCAGAGCAGTGCTGCGAAAGTGAGTATTGAACTGCCCTCCTCCTCGAATGGAATATCCTAGCGCTGCCCCGACATCGTACCCTCCCACGATTGCCCGAATGAGTTGCTCACCCGTCCAACCATCGCGTTGGGCAATGGCTAAGCTGGCAGCAATGACCATAGAGCTCATGTGCGAGCATGAGTCAAGGTGCATATCATCACGAACTGTGCTGTTGCCTCAGATCTGTCAGTATTTTTCTCTGGAGAAGCTTCGGCAATCCGATATGGGACTGATAACAGTGGAACACGTAAAGAGACATCTCACCTGTTTGAAAGGGCGGCGTGTATGAAAGCGGCTGTTTCAGCAGACATTGCTTTGTCACTGCCGAAGACAAATGCTTCGGGGTTACCAGCATGAAGCTGTGCGTACTTGAGCAAAGGCGGCCCGAGATCACCACCAAGTCCAGCCTGACAAGCTCCAAGGAAGTCCAGGAGACATTGAGACACCTTGTCTCTTACTTCCTCCGACAGCTCCTCCGAGGAGACTTGTTTAAGCCGTTCCGCCGCGAGCCGGGTCAACGGTTGTCCTTTGTTAGGTTGCGAAATCATGGCATATACCTATGGCTGCAGGAGAAGCTTCAATCAGAAACTCGTGTAAATCTTGCTTTGTAGGAATGAAAATTGGGCGGGGCCGTCTGCTGACAATAGATGGTAGCCAAGTTCACCACTGTCGATTGAAATATAATCCAACAAAACCCACTCAAGGAGCTGCATGGCCTGATGCTTGATTTATCCACAAGTCGACACAGCCATTGAGGGGACAAAAGGACAGGATCGTGTCGGAAATCGATAGATGCTAGCTCCAAGGTGTGGGTAGAAGGGCCGTAAAGACGGCATTGCCGCGGGCCTGAATAGTTTCCCCAGAGAGACAATCCCGTAGTGTTCTGAGCTTTTCCTCCTCGCCACATTTCGGAGCTAAATTAACAGCTCTGCCTCTGGGGGAGCAGTAATGTGAGGCAAGCATCCCCACTATTCGTAACCCCGTCTTTCTCCGATTTTGGGGATTAGTTCCACAGGGAGTGCTTGGCATCGAGGAAGAGTTTCCAAGCGCGCCGAGTTCTCGGCCATACTGACCGACAAGTCGGCAACTAGAGACCACCACAATTTCGGCGGAGACGGACACATGCGATGTTCAGATGTGATGTTAGAGTCATGTCCAGCAGACTGACCAGGAGTCTAGCCTCATATTCATCTGGAGAATACCCCATGATACCAAGGCGCCAGAGTCGAAGGAGACAGTTGTCATGGAGAAAAGTCCCACTTTACTTTGTGCCCATGAGAACTTTCTCTCGTCATACTTGAGCTGAATGAACCACTGCGGGATGGTTTGAAGCTCCCGTTCCCGCTCAAATGAGAACTTTCAGTGTCAAGCCGGACGTAGCTATATCGACACGGCAGACTCTCCGAAGTCGTGAGATAGTTCAGTGGACAAAAATGCGGTAGTAGACCAGTTCCATTCGGAGAAAAACGCATCGTCGTCGACCCCTAGATGTGCGCCGCCGCTGGTGTCGAAGTCGGATAGTTGAGTGGTAGCCTGGTGAGCAGAAGAGAGAGCCTGTGTGTTAGTAACCAAAGGTCTCTGGCTTTGAGCGTGATTGCCACTGTTTTCTTCCGAATATGGGTTTGACTGTCCTAAAAATTCTTGCCGCCAATACCAGAGACAGTCGTATACCACTCCCATAGCCTGCGACGCCATACAATTAGCCTGCCACATTCTGTAGCAGAAGCGTGTGTCTCATGGCTTACCCCTCTCGTCCGGATTCGAACCTTGAGGCTGTCAATCGATCCATCATGTCGCGTAAAAATGCGTTTACTTCGCCATAGCTGCGACAAAGTTGCCGCCATTCGAGCGTTGAGATCATTGTTCTTCAGGGCTCTCTTCTTGAGTATGCGAATCGCCGCGAAGTAAGACTGTTCTCCAAGGGTATAGTCGATTGTCGAGCTCAGTTCCGGACTGCGGCATACCCGCAGTATCACCATGGCAGCGAGGGTGAGAGTCCTGTAGAATTGTTCCGAAAGATAGAGAGCATAATCGTCCTTCTGATCTCGAGACGTGATATTGTCAATAAAGGCACAAGCCACATGGTGTACCTCGACCAGATGCGAAAGATTTGAGGGCAATTGTTTCAAGATGAAGAAATAATAGGCTCCGGTGTGCAATCTCGCAGAGGTGAAATAAATCTCGGCTGTCAACAATCAGCATTGTATTGTGAAACAACGAGTAGGGGCGAGAAAAGTCAACAATATGCCATACCAAGCTGCCCTTGTGTCTGCCGCTTGAGCTTTATAATCTCGTCGTCGTAAAACTTGATCATAGCTAGAAGCTGGTAAGGCCTCTCAACGTCTTGTTCTCCATATCCGCCTTTCATTAGAGTGTGATTGGCATTGGACATCATGTTAGCAAACTGAAGCATCCAAAAGACGGGTCTGCTTAGAGAATCAAGAACATCTTTACTCTGTTGTTCCAGGTCGAAGGCATCTTCAAAAACGTGATGATGCAGGCCGCAATGCGTATTGACACTGAGCAAAATTCAGAATCTATTAGTAAATGACGTGCGCTGGGATCTTACGTGCTGCAGATCAGCTTGCACCATGCCCACAAAGTGGCGAGAAAGATATCGCTGTTGGTGTCTCTGATCAAATGATTGTGTGAGAAGTCTTGTCTTCTGCTGAGCATGTGTAGACCATTCTGTTGTGAGAGCTGCGTTATGACACCTGCATAAATAGGCGAAGGGTCATCCGATGCGTTCTCCATAGGTAGAGGCCATACACAGAGCAGGAGTAGGGCAGTAATAGTTGGAATATATTCGGAAATCCTTGTTGTTGCCAGTGCTGCCAAGTTGGAGACTTTGGGGGCTAACACTTCCAGCAATGTGGGATCAAGACTGTATCTTCTTGAGCCAGTCACTATGATCGTCCAGAATAGCAATGGGGAATATTGGAAGCATTCGCGGCAACTTTGCTGTGGATCCAGGATTGGTATGATTGAGTGATAATGGCTGAAGTACCTGTTTGTAGTCAATATTGATGAGAAATGAGGCTAGGTATCTAAGTCAGTACTCACAAGGAATAGCAATCATCCAGCTTTTGAGGCTCAATTTCGAGACCATCAAGAGGCGGAGAGAAAGCTGGGATGCCAGCGCCAGGTTCAATTAATGAAGCGATAGCAACAGGCGAAGGATGGTAGGAATATTGAAATGCAGGTGGGTGTCCAGCCGGATTGTATGGAGCATTTGAAGTGAGAACCTGGCGTGGATCAGGCTCTGGAATTGTGGTCACTGCGGATGGATCGTTAAGCGATGAAAAGAAAGGAGTGAGCCGGGCGTCAGATTGCGGTACCACTGAAGAGGCGATGGACGTGGGATGGTAAAGACGTGAACGTGCTGGAGGACCAGGAGGCATATCTCCGAGTTCTTCTGCGTTCTCTGCGAGTTGTAGTGCTCTTCGAAGTCCGTCTATTTCACGCTGCATCTTCGCCTTCCTACATCGTAGTCAGTTGGAACGACACCATGTCGAAGATAGGAGGTACAAACGATCGTGTTTTTCGCCTTGTAAAGTCCGCTATGAAGTTGCATTGGACTCCCGACTTTCTACACTTGGAACAGGGCTTTGAGTAATCAAGATGCGCATCGCATCTTATCTAGCAGGTGTGAGCTGCTCTCTGGGCTCCCGAGAGATAACAATGGCTTGGATCATAGAGACCAGACTCGACTCACCTTTTGTTGCCGACACTCTTCACAAGCTCTGGGCCTTGTCGTTGCTGAACTTGATGCCGACATACCTCTCAAATCTTTCAGTGTATGTGTCCTGTGAGCAAGTACGCGTTGATCTTGTGAGAGAGTGTAGGCCACAAGCGTTCTTGACTTCTTGAGTTTGGCCTGCGGAGCTGAATAAAGAAATATCAGGCTAAAAGACGGTCCAGAAAGCTGTTTTGAACCTGATCTTTTGGATAGAAGGAAGAGATGAAACAATGCTTCGTTCGCACTTAGAAAGATGGAATGGCTTGAAGTGGGCTTGGACTGGTCAAGAAGAGCTCTGAGGCCTGGTGGATCCAGTGAGGACTACGAGGTAGTTTCCATCCCATACTCCATCCTTGGCTCGAAGAGAACAACCTTGCCACCCTGTACATTGTGGGGTTCATTGAGGGTCAAAGGCTATCTCTCAGTTTATCCGAGGTTCAAACTGATATGCACAAAGTTGCATTACCCACGTTGTGGATTAATCATAATATACATCTTTGTTTTTCGCACAGAGCAATATCAAACATGTTGAATTTGAACATAATATCGAGTGACGGTTGGTTCGTCGTCAGGTTATCTCCGAAGGTCATCATTGAGCAAGCCGTAGGCCTCTGCAGGAGGCACGGTTTTCATTAGTATCGTTAGGTTCGTCCCAGAAATAGATCATCGTCTTGGATGAGAATTTCCAGTTTTCGCTTGCGACGCAGCCCTTGCCTTAGTGGCTCTGGAAAAATGCACCGAATGCAGAACGTTCTTTGTATGAACTTCATTCGCTAGGGGCTTCACTTGTTGCAGTCGTTGGCTTCGACGAGGTGAAATGGGCGTTTCCACGGGTTGGCGCTGTGCTGGAGTTGTCTGCGATGGACCGGAATCTAGTGAACGAGATTTGACATTATTCGAATCGACTTTCGACCGCTTCGAGATCCTGGATTCGGGATTCGGACCGAGGACAGACTTAGGGTGTACAGCTTTTCCTCGAACAAGCCACTTTGTTCTCTTGGAACCATCTCTTTGTGCAAGGTGTTGAGGCAGAATGCCTACACACTCATTGGCAGGATGCCCGCAGTCGACCGCGATAGCGGGATATTGGTCGTCAATCCACTTTACGAAAACTTTCCATCTCTTGACCTCGAGCTGCGCTGCCCGTAACTTACCCTCAGCACGGGCCATAACCCTCTGGGCTATGTGGAGGTCATAACTGTCTCAGTGTCTTTTCAATTCTCCAGGTCTGGATATAAGTTCCGCTAAGCTTTTTGTAGAGTGAAGTTCTTGTTGCGCCAATCCGACCAGGGCTGTTCTTCCTTTTGACTTGTGGTGCTTAGCAGCAATCAATACCTTCTCTGCAGAATCCACTCCGGATCTTGCTTCAGCCACCTCTGTCTCCGGCGCAGTTATCTCTTTCGATCGGCTGTAGAGGACGTTCGGGTCAGTGATGACATCGGTTAATTGTGTGTGTGCTTCCATTGCCTCAAGAGTCTGCTCCCTTAACAATAGGTTTTGCTCTTCATATTCGTTCTTTTTCTGAGATGCCATGAGTTTCCGATAGTACAACGCCCGAAACTCGTTCCAATCTTCCAACCAGGTCTGCTGGTGTCGGTCCTCCAGCACTCGGAGATCCCATTTACGTCCTGCATCTCCTTGACTCTCCTGGACGATGGCTTCGTACTCCTGAAACCTATTTAGAGGAGCATAATACCTCCGCTTCCGATCTTGATATTCCCGGAATTCTCTCCATGTGATGAGCTGGTAGCGGAATTCTTGATGATACCCACTTCCTCTAAAATGCCAAAACTAAAGGATGTTGCTGTACTGCTCGTACTTGTCGGGGTTATCAATCACATCGTAGCCGAATGTCACAGGATGAGTCGGTTGGCCTCCTTCTGCAATTAAAGTGTGATAGGCTTCCTCCTCCTCCTGCCAGCCCTCCTTTATCTTTCTCTGAGTCGAGGCTTGAGGCGGAAGACGATCGGTAGCGACAGGCGAGGGTTGATGCTCTCGAAGGAAGGCGACTACGCTGGAAGTCAGTCTAGGTATATCACTGGTCAGGGGAAAGACAACAGTACCCTAACCGGTTCCCAAGTTCGCCTGCGTCTATGGGTCGCGACCTCTCTTTCTCAGAGCGTAGGTCAACAAGGCCCCTAGAAAAGAGAATAGAATACCAAGCATCAGCATCGCAGTCTGTAAAGTGGAAAACCCAGAGAGATTCTTACCGCAAATGTGCTATGTGTTCCTCAGTTTGGTTATCTGGGTCTTTGATCTTAATAAGGCTAAGATGTCGTCAGAAACAGAAAGACAGACGGAAAGAAAGTCGATAGTTCTCTTACATCTCGTCCCCTAAGTCATCCACCGTTAGGCAGAGGAGTTCATGGGTGTACACCTCGATCGTCATAGCGATGGTGATGCTGAATGAGATGCTTCGAGGGCAGGAGGGATCAGTTGGGAGTGGAAACAAAGAAGCTAGCGAAACCTAACGAGCATGGAAGGAGGAACCGGGCTGGGCGTGGGAATAATGGGCTCTTAGTGAGCCACGAGGGCCTAGAGAAAGGCGCTAAAGGTCGGTGTGGACGCCAACATTATCCAATTAGAGGGGACAATTGTTCATATGCGCGAGAGTGTAGATTTATCCCGTGACAAACAGCCTGGTTGTTAAAATATATTCTCTCTATCTCTATGCTGCCAGCTACTCAGACTGAGATGGATGACCCAGATATCTTCTTGACACTCACCTCCAGTAATAAATGGGGACTTGCCGCTGATTCATTCCGTTTACCACATAATGTTACTCGCTATGCTTAGCCGTCTCCTGTCAGCCGCGAGGCTACGCCTGCTGAGTCTACCTGCGACAAAAAGCTGGTGAACGAACCGGAGTACTTCCACCGTATCATACTGCGATTTGGTCAGGGAACGAATACGAAAGGCCGTATTACGTTTACAAGCGACCCTGAAAAGTGTGATATACTGCTTGATACAAGAAGACCACGATTTTACATCACATTTGACAACGAGCAGCGACCCGTGATTCAGGATGACTCTAACAATGGTATTAAAGTCAGCTACGATGGAGAAGCAAAAGATAAACGACGAAATCACTTCAAGTGGATCCTTTTCCCCAGATTTGAGACAATCAAAGTCACAATACCACTCCGGAAGCAGAGAGAACTTGCCTTTGATGTCCACCTCCCTCAGCACTACGACACGCATCGAAACGAGTATAAAGACAACGTGAAGACTTTCATGTCCCATGCTCCTCAAGACCATGATGTGGCTTTCCTTAATCTAGCACTCCGCAGCGAGAATACCTCGTTCGCGCCAAGCGAATCCCTCTCTCCAACGAATCGACCTATTTACCTAAAGGGAATGCTTTTGGACGAGTGAGGAAGGTTGTGAATGCTTCTACTGGACATAAGTATGTAGTACAGTGACTGGAGGGTAGAGTTAGGGTCCCCTCCCCTTCTCTTACTTTACTTTTTTCTTTATCTATATCTTTATCTACTACTAATATACCCTCTAGGACCTTCTAGAAGATCTAGAACTAAGTAGGGCGGCGTTAGGAATAGAAAAGAGTTACTCTTTACCCTATCTCTCTTCTCTTCGATTATTATATACTATATTGTATAATTATATATTACGAGCCGCTTTATACGTAAGATATTAGTAGTAAACCTAAATAGTTTACTTAGTAATATAGTAGTAGAATGAAGAAGCTAAGACGAAACTAAGAGTATAGTATACGGAACTATACGTAAAGCGAATAATTAAGAGAAACTTAATTATTTATAAACGAAGTTAACTACGAAGGATATCTAGGGTTAGGGTTAGGGTTAGGGTTAGGGTTAGGGTTAGGGTTAGGGTTAGGGTTAGGGTTAGGGTTAGGGTTAGGGTTAGGGTTAGGGTTAGGGTTAGG